AAAAAAAAAAAAAAAAAAAAAAAAAAAAAAACGCACAAGAAGTCAATCTATATATAAAAAAAGATCTATATAAAAACACAAAAAACATAAACAACAAACGGACGCGCAAGTCAACCGATAGAAAAAAAATTGATCGTCATAAAAACAAACAAACAAAAACGCACCCACAAGTCAACCGAAAAAAAAAAAAAAAAAAAAAAAAAAATGCTTGTCGAAAAAAAACCGACAAACAAACAAACAAAAACGCACACACAAGCCAACCGATACAAGAAACATTAGTTCCTCATAAAAACAACAACAACAACCACAAAAAACGCAGGCACAAGAAGAAGACCCCACAAAGGCCGCGTCCTGTCGCAGGAGGGCCACGTTGTAGAGAGTCGGAGGCTGATGACGTCACGGCAGCGGGCGGCAGAGACGGTACGAATCCGACGACTACGAGAACACTTCGTCGCTTCGTAGCTCTGAGCTTAAATTTCTCAGCTGATAATGACTTTGATGATGATAGTCATTGCTGTTATCATTATACACGTTAGTAGTAGTTGTTTTGTATTTTCATTTCCATCTTCATCATTACTGATACTGTTAATATCATTACTATTATCACTAACAGTATCGTCATTATTGTTATGATAACTATGATTGCCATCATTATTTTCATCATTTGTTATAATTATCATTATTAGTAGTAGGAGTGTCATTTTAATTTCTATTATTTTCAATATCACTGATAAATATATTTCATATTATCAATAATACTGATAAAAACAATGATGATAAAGGATGAAAATAGTTATAACTGTAATAATGAAAATTCATAATGATGTAATTATAACCATTGTTATTATGTATATAATCACACATCATTATTCCAGCATTGTTATTAACATTATTGCTTTTATTTATAATTAGTTTTCATTATCTTTATATCTATCATCATAACCACCATTACCATTAACACCTCCTTTTACTATCATTATCGCTAGTATAATTATATGACCATCCACATCTGTATTACTGTTGTTATAATCATTATTTCTGCTGCTGTAAACTGGGCAGCGTTAAGAAAAGCAATGGTTTTCATCCTGGGCGGTAGTTTATGCAAGTATAGTGATTGCTGCAATGGTCTAGTGCAACAGGTCTTCAGGTCTTGAACTACGACCGTCACAGGGATTTCTTTGATATCTGATACTTTTGCCTATTCAGGTGACAAACGAAAAATATGAAATAATCAAATGGCTATTTTTGGGGGGAATCGCCTCAGTTCCCGGAACAACAGTATGCAGATGCGAACTGAGGCACTGCCACGTCACTGTTAGTATCTTCTAATCCTTTTGATTGTTCAAAGCATTTCATATTTAGAAATTGCATAGAAGTGCAAGCGAAATAATACAGAACAATGTAATGGATTAACGGCGTTTCTTTAGTGTTGTTTACGGGTCTTACTGTTTTTATTTGTTTCCTGTTGCTATCCATACCATCCCTACCTTAACCCTACCCCCTCAAGGTCTTGCACCGTTCGGCGGGTACATAAGGCGGGCGCGAAGATGCAGCTTTGCCATTCGCCTCCGATCCCCTCCGGTGCAAGTGTCTTTCGGGCTTCTCTTCTCTGAAACTCTATCTGAATGGACAACTGTTCGCGCTCTGCTAGGGACGTCTCTCTTCGCTATAAGTAAGTCGGATTCCTGCCGTTCCTTGGCAGTTCCTGAGCACATTCACACTTGTATTCCTCAAGGCTTGTTTGTGTTTGGCTTTGTGTTCCTCCGAGCTGATGGAAGCCTCGTTGTTCCGCAGGTACTACGACGACGACGGAAAGAGATCGAGGTGGAGGTGGAGGCCGAGAGGCTGGGACTCGGCCTCGTCGGCGCGGCGCCCAGGAAGGCCGCGGTCGCCCCTGCCCCTTCCGTCCGCCTTGCCCCCGTGACCGCCGTCCCTCATTTCGCCCTCCAACCCCAGGCGCCAGTCCGCTTTGTTCCTGTGGCCACGCAGGTACAGACCCGCACCGTTCCGGCCGCTCGCAAGGTCGTCCCTTCGTGCAGCCTCAGGTTGTGACGCGCGTAGTTGAGGTCGCTCCGGCTCCCCAGGTCACCCGCTACGTCCATGTAGAGGCTCCCAGGGCCCGCTACGTCAAACTGGACGACGACGACGACGATGATGATGATGACGACGTCCCAGTCGTGTTCCGCTCCTCACGCCCCGTCCACCGCATGGCGCCCAAGCGCTCCTCCCTGGCTGCTGTCAAGGTCCCCGCGGTCCCTGCCCGCAGGGTCTCGGACAGCAGCGATGAGGAGTAGGCAGGAATCGCGGTGCTTTGCCTGGCACTGGCTCCTCGTTTTATCATGATTTTCTTCCAAAGCTATACAAGAAGTTTTAATAAAAAAAACAATAACTTTATTCGGTTTTATTCACAAGATGTATCTACGCAGGGATGACACTGGGTCGAAGACAGGACACGCACTTCAGCATTTTCATCATCACTACTTGTGCTGAAAACACACTGAATACTACTGATTCTTACCAACTGAAAGCACCATGAGTTTCTGTAAAGGATGAGGTTCATTTTGTTGCAATCAATCTTGCTCAGCTAAATCTGAATCTTCATTTGTTCTCATTCTACTTAATGAGGATCATCATTCATTCATCTAGGGTTGTAATCAAATACAATTGTAGAGAAGGAAATCAATCACAGATTTCTCAGATTAAGCCCAAATCTCGATACAGTATACGGTTATTATTAATACTTCCCTATTTTCAGCACAAGACATAAAATATAAGCTTCCATTATTCTCTAAATGTCTCAAGATTTTTAATTTGTCCTTAACCTCCATTTATTTATCATTATCTCGTGTGAATTTTATAATATTGATATTAGAGCAAAAAGATCATAATTCTAAGCCTAATGTGTTTCGACGAAACTAATTTCAATCCAATATATATTCATTAGCACTAATAATCAAAGTTAATAGTAATAAAATTACTTATCGAATTTGATAGAATAATTTAGTCAAATGTTCTGATAATATATTTATCATTTTCAGTCTTCACATAATCAACAGTTTTTTTTTTAGATTTGTTAAAGTTGAATCAACAAAATATGCATCAAAATCTCAAATTGATTGAGTCTGATAACTTTTAATCTCTCTCTCTCTCTCTCTCTCTCTCTCTTTATCACTTTGCTTTTACACAAACCAACATTCGTGCAATTCATCACAGTTGAATAATTAAAGAAAAGGTGTAGCAAGAGTGTGGGAATATATTAAACACTAGTACAGGTCTATAAAGGAATTCTCAAAATATACACCATGCCTTCTGGCAAAGGCCAACAGTTAATGCAGAAATGTTAACACACCGAGCGGTGAAATTATCTATTGGTTAAAAAAGTCATTAGGCAGATGCCCAAAAGAATGTATCTAAAGAAATAAAATTATTACTGAAAATTAATTCCTTCTAATAAAGCACACCATGTTCAACACTGAGAAGCAACAACAAACTGGCAAAAAATCTCAGATTGATTTCATATATAGTTATATTTATTTAATGTAAATGCAGATAGAAATCATTAATGAAAAAATGATGGAAACAGGAAAAAGTCTGTGCATCAGCAAAACACCGGCCACATTTAAGACAAATCCATGAGGTTCCTGATCAATATATACCATTTTTTAAAAACCATCAAATCATTGGGAAACTTTTTTATAAATAAGATATATATACTTTTTTTCCACATCTACCCTCTAATATGCCGCATTGACATCATGATCTATTTCTGTCTGTTATGCATCAACTGTGGTCATCTTTAGCTTCCTTGTCAAATGTATCTGATGCCTCAGGCTAATAGGATTCTGCTCTAAACTTCCTCTATTGAACATTAGCCTTTCGTATTACATGTATGTTGCCGTTCATAAAAAATGACAAGAAAATAAATAAATAAATGAAAATCTGAAAACTAAACACATCAGATGAAATAGTTAATACCACTTCAGGCCTAATAGCAGTGCCTTGTGGACAGGCTGATTCAGGGTCAATATTGCTTTCCAAAACAGGAGCTGCCACCAGGATGCTTTCCTGGCTAATGCTAAAATTCTTGACCTCAAATTTCACCTTTTCATGGGGGATAAAATCTTGGCTTTTTAGTTTTATATTCTTATTCACTTCTGGAAATGGTATTTAGTTTCTATAAGAGATAATCTATTCAATAAATATTTCAATTAGCATTTTATAAATTCTGTAGAGATAAATATACATTTGTATATAGCTCACAAGTCGCTCAGACACACATCTTACCCAAAGATACAATTTAAGATTGCACATTGTCACCCTCTTAAGATATTCACGACATTGCAAAAGGAACTGAACACCAGTCTTCAACATAGAGAGATAAATAAATCGCAAATATTTCGAGAAAAATATAAATAAATAAAAAAAATATAAAAATAAACATGCACAATAATGCAAAAATTTTATCTTCAGTAATTTACCTTTGGAGACTGTGTAACGTTTTTTTATGGGTTGTGATAAGAGAAAATATTTTTCGTCCAGACGATAAAGAACTACTCCCCTTGTAACGTAGTTGTCTACATGAACAGTCTTTGTTGCAGTTATTGTCCATTGTAAGAGGCTTTGCTTCACGGCAGTCAGATAGGGATTCCCTTGATTTTTCTAATCGTTAGCCTAAGGGGTAAATATAAGATAGATGACACTTGACAATCAGTCCATGTGAATATTTAGAAATTTCTCGGCTGTCGAAACATTATGGAAGATGTTACTGCATATATCCTAATCCTTTTCATATCCTCTGAGCATTTTATGCCGTGAGAGTAAACATACTGCAAAAAATATACATACGAGTTTTGTACTTGTTTTCGGTAACTTCCCATACCGCCCCTACTTCAACCGTCCCCACCCTGTAGCACTCACTACCCCGACCCGGATAAGGGTCCCCTCTCCCAGGGCACGAACCTTCTGGTGGGTATATAAGGCGGGCGCGAAGATGCAGCTTTGCCATTCGCCTCCGATCCCCTCCGGTGCAAGTGTCTTTCGGGCTTCTCTTCTCTGAAACCTCACCATGAAGCTGGTAACGAAACTATTCTTTTTAGCATCTGCTATTTTCCATTCAATAAAAATTATCGATGATATTTCTTACTCATTTTATTTACTTCTATCATTTTTTTTTACAGGAAACTGTTGCAAATCCTTTTACTCCTCGACCCGAATATTTCATAATATGTATCATACATGTTAAATATACAAACAAGGGCCTGTGGCTCGAATATTTATGTAAATCTTTTTCCTCGGCAGTTGATGTTGCTGGCGCTGGCGGGGCTGGCGAGCTGCAGCACAACCCTGATCGGAGGCGACCGCGCCAGGGACGTCTCTCTTCGCTACAAGTAAGTCGGATTCCTGCCGTTCCTTGGCAGTTCCTGAGCACATTCACACTTGTATTCCTCAAGGCTTGTTTGTGTTTGGCTTTGTGTTCCTCCGAGCTGATGGAAGCCTCGTTGTTCCGCAGGTACTACGACGACGACGGCAAGGAGATCGAGGTGGAGGTGGAGGCCGAGAGGCTGGGACTCGGCCTCGTCGGCGCGGCGCCCAGGAAAGCCGCGGTCGCCCCTGCCCCTTCCGTCCGCCTTGCCCCCGTGACCGCCATCCTCATTTCGCCCTCCAACCCCAGGCGCCAGTCCGCTTTGTTCCTGTGGCCACGCAGGTACAGACCCGCACCGTTCCGGCCGCTCGCAAGGTCGTCCCCTTCGTGCAGCCTCAGGTTGTGACGCGCGTGGTCGAGGTGGCTCCGGCTCCCCAGGTCACCCGCTACGTCCATGTAGAGGCTCCCAGGGCCCGCTACGTCAAACTGGACGACGACGACGACGATGATGATGATGACGACGTCCCAGTCGTGTTCCGCTCCTCACGCCCCGTCCACCGCATGGCTGCTGTCGACAAGGTCCCCGCCCGCAGGGTCTCGGACAGCAGCGATGAGGAGTAGGCAGGAATCGCGGTGCTTTGCCTGGCACTGGCTCCTCGCTTTATCCTGATTTTCTTCCAAAGCTATACAAGAAGTTTTAATAAAAAAACAATAACTTTATTCAGTTTTATTCACAAGATGTATCTACGCAGGGATGACACTGGGTCAAAGACAGGACACGCACTTCAGCATTTTCATCATCACTACTTGTGCTGAAAACACACTGAATACTACTGATTCTTACCAACTGAAAGCACCATGAGTTTCTGTAAAGGATGAGGTTCATTTTGTTGCAATTAATCTTGCTCAGCTAAATCTGAATCTTCATTTGTTCTCATTCTACTTAATGAGGATCATCATTCATTCATCTAGGGCAGTAATCAAATACAAAGGAAATAATCACAGATTTCTCAGATTAAGCCCAAATCTCGATACAGTATACGGTTATTATTAATACTTCCCTATTTTCAGCACAAGACATAAAATATAAGCTTCCATTATTCTCTAAATGTCTCAAGATTTTTAATTTGTTCTTAACCTCCATTTATTTATCATTATCTCGTGTGAATTTTATATTGTTCATATTAGAGCAAAAAGATCATAATTCTAAGCCTAATGTGTTTCGACGAAACTTTAATTTTCAAATGTAATAAAATTAATATCGAATTTGATAGAATAATTTAGTCAAATATTCTTTTTTTTCATCATAATTAAATTATTCATCGAATTTGATAGAATACTTTAGTCAAATGTTCTGATAATATATTTATCATTTTCAGTCTTCACATAACCAACAGTTTTTTTTTTTTTTTTTAGATTTGTTAAAGTTGAATCAACAAAATATGCATCAAGATCTCAATTTGAATTGAACAGTCTGATAACTTTAAATCTCTCTCTCTCTCTCTTTATCACTTTGCTTTTACACAAACCAACATTCGTGTAATTCATCACAGTTGAATAATTAAAGAAAAGATGTAGCTAGAGTGTGGGAATATATTAAACACTAGTACAGGTCTATAAAGGAATTCTAAAAAAATACACCATGCCTTCTGACAAAGGCCAACAGTTAAAGCAGAAATGTTAACACACCGAGCGGTGAAATTATCTATTGGTTAAAAAAGTCATTAGGCAGATGCCCAAAAAAAAATGTATCTAAAGAAATAAAATTATTACTGATGGTTGATTCCTTCTAATAAAGCACACCAATGTTCAACACTGAGAAGCAACAACAAAACTGGCAAACATAATATCTCAGAGATTGATTCAATATATAGTTTATATATTTATTAATGTAACATGCAGATAGAAATCATTAATGGAAAAATGATGGAAAAAACAGGAAGCAAAAAGTCTGTGCATCAACAAAACACCGGCCACATTTAAGACAAATCCATGAGGTTCCTGATCAATATATACCATTTTTTTAAAACCATCAAATAATCATGTTGGAACTTTGTACTTGGATGGACAAAAGTATCGATAAGGTATATATATTTCCACATCTACCCTCTAAATATGCCGCATTATCATTTCTGTCTGTTATGCATCAACTGTGGTCATCTTTAGCTTCCTTGTCAAATGTATCTGATGCCTCAGGCTAATAGGATTCTGTTCTAAACTTCCTCTATTGAACATTAGCCTTTCGTATTACATGTATGTTGCCGTTCATAAAAAATGACAAGAAAATAAATAAATAAATGAAAATCTGAAAACTAAACACATCAGATGAAATAGTTAATACCACTTCAGGCCTAATAGCAGTGCCTTGTGGACAGGCTGATTCAGGGTCAATTTGCTTTAGCTTGTGGGGAAAACAGAGCAGGGCCTTAAATTCAAATCTTGGCTTTTTTAGCTTTATATTCTTTCACTTCTCGAGATGGTATTTAGTTTAGATAAGAGATAATCTATTCAATAAATCTTTTGATTAGCATTTTATAAATTCTGTAAAGAGAAATATACATTTGTATATAGTTCACAAATCGCTAAGGCACACATCTTACCCAAAGATACATTTTAAGATTGCATATTGTCACCCTCTTAAGATATTCACGACATTGCAGAAGGAACTGAACATCAGTCTTCAACATAGAGAGATAAATAAATCGCTAATATTTCACAAGAAAAAAATATAAATAGATAAAAAATATAAAAATAAACATGCACAATGATGCAACAATTTTCTCTTCATAAATTTATCTTTGGAGACTGTGTAACGTTTTTTTATGGGTTGTGATAAGAGAAAATATTTTTTGTTCAGACGATAAAGAACAAATCAGGATCCACATGAAATAGCAAATTCAAAAATTCCTTTCCTTATGAAGGAATTTTATTATAAAACTACTATACTTAACAATATGGCGAATTTCTATAAGATAAAGCTTATTGAGTATAAAGTATGTTCAGGGAAATATTTTTAAAAATGTGAAAATTGCAGATTTCTAGGTCACTGATTTCTCAAATCCCAAATCGGATTGATACCCTAAAGGTGATGCCCAGGACAGAGAAATAATTCTGATAGATTTAAGTAAAAGCAGACGAGAAGGATATATATATATATATATATATATATATATATATATATATATATATATATATATATATTCAATTTCTACCCCTTAAAATGCCGGCTTGACATCAAGAATTCCTATTCCTGTCTGGTACGAAGTGCGATCATCTCAAACTCAAACTCAATAGGTAATGCCCAGGACGCTGATAAGCCCATATCGCGCATATGTATGGTTGGTTGCTGGGAAATCATAGCTTCCTCGTTAACTGCGTCTGCTGCCTCAGACGAATAGGATTCTGCTCTAAACGTACTCTGCTGAACATTAGCCTTTCGTATCACATGTCTATTGCCATCCATAAATAAGTCTGAAAACCCAACATGTCAGATGAAATCGTTAATTCCACTTCAGGCCTTACAGCAGTGCCTTGTGGACAGGCTGATTCAGGGTCAATATTGCTTTCCAAACAGGGGCTGCCACCAGGATGCTTTCCTGGGTAATGATAAAAATCTTGATCTTGAATTTTGCCTCTTCATAGGGGATAAAATCTTGGCATTAGATAATTTATTCAATAAATGTTTTCATTAGCTGAAAAATCTATTCAACCAAGTTTCCCTTGTGTATGGTAAAAATACACAGTTAAGGAAAAACAAGTTAACAAATTGCCCAAACTCGTATCTTTCCAAATATACACTTTAGGGGAAATTTCAGATTATAGTCCTCTGAGATATTCACGACCCTGCAAAAACAAACTGTAAAGCAGTCTCCCATATTGGAAACAAATCACAAATATTTTCGTAGAAATGAAAGAGATAAACATGAAGCTTTCACGAAAACTAATGAAGCAACAATTTTCTCTTCTGTAATTTACCTTTGGAGACAATGAGAGATTTCTTACTCGTTATGGCAAGAGAAAATATTTTTCGTCCAGATGATGAACTACGTCCCTTGTAACGTAGAAGTTGGCTGCATGAATATTTTTGTTAGATTTTTCCAAAGAGGCTTTGACATGCGACCGTCAGATAGGGATTTCCTTGTTCTTTTCTGCTCGTTTGTCTAAGTGGTAAATATGACAGGACAAGGACACCTCATTCCATGTAAATATTTAGGTGAAGTTTCTCGGTTGTAGGTGCAAGAAGTAGTCATGCTACTGCAAATATCTTATCCTCCCCCCTCTCATACCCACAGAGCCGGGTAAGGATCCCCCTGTGCCCCTGTCCCCCCCAAGGCCGTTCCCTAGCACCTTCTGGCGGGTATATAACGCGGGCGCGAAGATGCATTTTGTCATTCATCTCCGATCGTCTCCGGTGCAAGGTCTCTCGCTTCGGTTCTCTCTTCCTCGAAGCCTTATCATGAAGCTGGTAAAGGGAATATTCTTTTTAGCGTCTGCTATTTACCATTCAATAAAAATTATCAGTGACATAACTTAATTTTCTTTTTCTTTGGTGACTGTTACGGTTCTGTCTCCTATTTTCATTTGTTACATATTCTACTTCTACTCGCCCCGCATACTTCATATATAGACCTGAATATGTATCATAAATATATATATATATATATATATATATATATATATATATTATATATATATATATATATATACACACACAAGGGCCTGTGGCCCTTGAATATTTGCGTAAATCTTCTTGTCCTCCTTGGCAGTTGATGTTGCTGGCGCTGGGGGCTGGCGAGCTGCAGCACAACCCTGATCGGAGGCGACCGCGCCAGGGACGTCTCTCTTCGCTACAAGTAAGTCGGATTCCTGCCGTTCCTTGGCAGTTCCTGAGCACATTCACACTTGTATTCCTCAAGCCTTGTTGTGTTTGGCTTTTGTGTTCCTCCGAGCTGAGGGAAGCCTCGTTGTTTCGCAGGTACTACGACGACGACGGCAAGGAGATCGAGGTGGAGGTGGAGGCCGAGAGGCTGGGACTCGGCCTCGTCGGCGCGGCGCCCAGGAAAGCCGCGGTCGCCCCTGCCCCTTCCGTCCGCCTTGCCCCCGTGACCGCCGTCCCTTATTTCGCCCTCCAACCCCAGGCGCCGACCCACTTTGTTCCTGTTGGCACACGGGTACAAGCCAACCTCGTCCCGAACACTCGCAAGGTCGTCCCCTTCGTGCAGCCTCAGGTTGTGACGCGCGTGGTCGAGGTCGCTCCGGCTCCCCAATTGACCCATTTCGTCCAGGTAGAAACTCCCAGGGCCCGCTACATCAGACTAGACGACGACGACGATGACGACGTCCCAGTCGTGTTCCGCTCCTCTCGCCCCGTGGCTCCCCCTGTCTCCGCCCCCGTGCACCGCCAGGTGACCCTGCGCTCCTCCCTGGCCGCTGTCGACAAGGTCCCCGCGGTCCCCGTCCGCAGGGTTTCGGACAGCAGCGATGAGGAGTAGGCAGGAATCACGGTGCTTTGCCTTACACTAGGTCATCGCCTTATTCTTATAATTTCTTTCCAAAATTATACATTTGTATTAATAAATATACCAATAATAGTATTCAGTTTCATTTTCAAGATGTATACATGTAGAGATGACAAAAAGTCAAGAATGATTCGTAGGCATTTTTATCTGAGAGTAAAACATTGGAAACGATCGGCCCTCCCCTTTCTGAAGAGGTTGCTCTCACATCATTTGGTAAGTTCATGGGACAGCCCTCTTCACGTGAGTCACCTCGGGGCATCACAGAACAAGTAAGAATGGTTAAATGAGATTATTAAAACGTTTTCATGATTCACGATAACATCCTCGAATATGGACATATTTCATCACAAAGTGTTTCCTGATCAAAAGCCAAAATTAGTGTGGGGGTGGGGGGTACTATTGTGGTAAAACGGCAAGTTCTAAGAAACTTTGAAGAGAAAGGATCTGTTGTGCTTATCCCTTGCACTTCTCAAAAATTAAATTTTGGGCTTTTTGTTCCTGTGCCTCCCACTCCTCCCTCCATGGATGCACCTGTTTCCAATCGCAACTCCTGTTGTGAAGGACATTGTACTGAGAACAATGTACATCGTCAGACTATCATTTGATATAATTTCCCTGATTCCATGATGATATGGGCTACGTTAAAGGATGACTATTTAACAAATAAGTGCTTATAGCAGAGTAAAAGGTATGCTTATGGTAATTTTGAAGAAGTTGAACTCGTTTCATTTCAACCGATGGTCGATCTATTTTTGTGTTAATGACTAAAAAGGGCAATGCCTTTTACACAATTCTTGTCTTGTGGTCACATCCGCCACTCCTGATGTTCCTGTGATGCAGCTGATGCTAGGGATCCCGCAATGCTGCCTTGGTCCTGGACGAGACATCCCAGGATCAGCTTCCACAGGCCTGTGTGCGCCATTGGTATGCAGTGTTTCTACAACGATGATCCTGGGTAATCCGCTCAAGATGCGGGCGTCTGGTTGACGCACTGAAGGTCGACCTTCGGCCGCCTGGCATCCTTGCCCTCTTGGCTGGAGAACGCCATCAATAATTTCGCTTCATTAAGAGGCGGGAGCGCACGATGCGCACCCACGGAAAGTAGTCCATTAAATGCCTTCAGCTCTTGGGACTGAGTATAGACGGTCATTTTTGTAACCATCAAACGTATTTTTGATCATCTCACTCATTAGAGGACATTGATATCTTTAACTCGGAAATAAACATATTTATATTCATAGCTCAGTGTTTTGAATATGTGCAGTGCGAAATGTACATTTTCCCATCTTAACTGTGTATTTTCCATTTTCTTTAATTCTTTCTCTTCGGCGACGTGTGAAGTGTTTCGGTAACCCCAAAATAGGTAAACCTCGTCAGGTGGTTTTCCTCCCATTTTCTTGGTTGTTGGCTGTCTTATCGATAGGTTGATTATATTAATCTCTTGGGTGTAAAAGTCACATACTTAATTATTTTATTTGGTTTCACCTGTACGCCCCGAGCGTAGGGCAGGCTATAATTTTATATAATTTTTTTCTTCTTTTTTTGAGGGAGAAGAATCACTGCCTTCCAGGTTGAGGTGGAAATCAACCACGCAAAATTTAAGCCCTAAATTATCCCCCATTGCCTTCGCTCCTCTACAGCATATCCCACAGGGAGAAGTCTGCGGTGAGTCCTGCCTCGTTTGAAACAGGAAATGTTTACAAGAGCATGTTGAATATACAGGTAGAAATGGAGATACTGGTGAAAAGGGTGTAAGTTTGAAAGAGAAAGAGAGAATGAGAGAAATTTTCTCTTTTTATTTTTTATTTTATACCCATGAGACCAGGTGTGTAGGCGTCGGATCGACACCAGCTGTATACCAAATGACCATCTGCCATTTCTTTCTTTATGTCAAATTCACGGCCGCGAGCAAAGCTCAGGATCACCCCAACGAGACAGCGTCAGCAGAGGAATCGAGACACCTCTCGTGGTGTCTGTATGTTTTGCATTTTTGTTTTTGTTTAGTTCTGTTCTATCTTGCTTTTTAAAAATGTGTTTATCTATTTACTTTTGTACTTGTTTATTTATCCCGTCATCCTCTCCGCCGCCACCACCCTGCCCCTTCCTTCAGAAGCCCTTTTTACTTTATCATCATTATGATCATTATCATTAGTTATTATTATCATTATTACTGTTATTATTGTTATCATTATCATTTTTTGCTATTATTATCATTATTATTGTTTTTATTACATGCATAATTGTTAATATCATTGTTATCTTTATCATTATTATTGTTATTATCAAAATTATTGTTATCAACCATTATTGTTATTGTATTATTGTTAATGTTATCAATAATATTATCATGATTCTTATTGTTATGATTATTATGATTATCATCATCTTTATTATTATCATTATTACTATTAATATTATCATTAATATTGTTATTATTATCATTGTTATTGTTACCAATGTCATTATCATTGTTACTATTATCATTATTGCTGTTATTATTATCATTATTATTGCTTTTATAATTATTATTATTGTTATTACTATCATTATTTTTGTGGAAGATATATGAATGAAAATAAATATCTTCACAATAAAAGCGGTGAATATTCTTCGTCAGAAATACATATATTTCTGACGAAGATATATTCGAAACTGATTAAATACATCC